GCATCGTGGACCATTTGGCACAGCCGGCTGATGCTTGCGCTCATCGCCTCCATGGGTCTATCGTAGCTTCTAGTCAACTGATCTTGCGATTCGAGTGATCACTCAGCCCTTGGTTAGCGTGCGTAGGTGCGTAGGATTTCGTACTACTCCTCGGCCCTCTACTGCACCTGCCTTTGGCTGTATGATAGGTGGGCCAGCCACCCCCTGGGGCCACGTGTCATTCACCCAAAGGCAGTTGCCGTAAGTCAATGAAGTTGCGCCCCCCTCCGTGCCGGTGCAGTATAGTCATCTCACCTGACCTCTAGTTGGGGCCAAACGAGAGAAGTTTGATGTTTACTGGTTTATTGGTCCCCTTTGCATTTTGCGCCAAGTTTTGACCTTTGATTTAACTATTAAATGTTAATGCATGTAAACAAAAATGTTGTGTAAGTCACCTTACGAAAACCAAATAATCCCAAAATACTTAGGCACGGTGCATTAACTCCCTCCTTGTTTCTTATTTCCTGACATATCAACCAATGAGAGATGTGGGCCGTGCATGCTTTCAATGACTTGAGACTACCAAACATGACATGCAGTGTTTAGTTCATTGCATGTAATCCTATTAGTACTCTAGTTAGGAGTAGCAAAAAACATTAAGTTCTCTCGCCGATAGGAATAAAACACCATGTATTTAGTTACAGAGGGAGTAGTACATTTTTGGTGACATGCATTACTAGATATTGCTAGTCAAATACTAAAATCCAGATGGATGTGGTAGTACTCCTAAATCCAGACGGTGGTGCTACTAGTAGTAGTAGTAGTACTACCAATGTAGTAGTAGGAGTACTAGCACTGTACTATCCGTTGGTCAAATTATTACGTGCTGCTCCTCACAGTGAAGTGACAAGACCCTGCGCCGGAGATGACACCTGAGTATAGGCGCCGTGATTGGCATACCATAGTCAGCCTCACCATCTGCAGTCACTATCATCATGGCTGTAGAGCTAGCCTGCTTACAACTAGCCCTGTTCAACATAATTTCCCGTGCGTAGATGCCCGTTCATTGCACGGAACACCAAGATTGGGGGTGGACGGCTCCGGCAGCGGCCATCGCGTCACATTTTTCCACGACCTTCTACTCCTAGATGTGGTGGGGAGGAGATGAGGTTGATTGTGAGAGACAAGGAGTTGTTTGTAAATAGGAAACAAGTGCGGGCATCTTTTTGCAAAAATGGAGAAGCTTGGTTTGTATGCGTCAGATCTAGATCCGACGGCTATTGGTGAAAGATGGGAGGCACAACATCATCACCAACTCAGGACCTATTTGATTCGCAGGATTTTGAAAACGCAGGAATAGGTCAACCTGCGTGTTCGGTTTATTCGGTTTACATGGTTCGATTTATACGGTTTTTCAGTTTGTACAGTATTAATACTTCGGTAAATATGGTATGAAATTAAAATACGGTTCGGTTTCGGTATATACCAAATTATTTCGGTATGGTTTCGGTATATACCATAAAAACCAAAGTTGACGCGAATTTGGAAATGACGTAATAATAATTAGCAAATTTATGACTCAAAACACATACTATTCTACACAAATAGTATATGACTATATATATAAGTATATATGCATGCATTGATTCATCTGTTGATGGTTATGGACGTGCTTAGCATTTTAAAAATAGAAAAATGACTATGTTACAAGAAAAAATTACGCGCTTAGTAGTGCATTTGACTCATGTACAAGAAAAATGACAACTTGTATGGTTGTTCATCTCAAGAAATATAAATTTATTTTTTACTTCGGTTTATTCGGTTAACCGTTCGGTTTTCCGGTATATACCATAAAAACCAAGTTCAAATCGGTATGAAAAGTTCATACCATACCGAAACCAGAAACCATAAAAACCATAAAATTGGTTCGGTTCGGTTTATTTTCGGTATGGTTTTTCGGTTCGGTTTTTAAATGCACAGAGTGAGGAATAGGACACGGAAATATTACAAGTTTCAAACTGATATTACAAATGTTAGGGAATCTTGCCACACTTTTTGAGTGTATGTGATGTGGGACCCTAACATGGCTTGACTAAGGTGTCGCTTGAACCAAACACCCATCTAAGTTGGTCAAACTTGCCTAACCTTAGGTGTGTCAACCTTATTCTCAAACCAAACAACCCCGTAGTCTCCTTTATTGCCATGCATGACACATAGTAGCATAACATTTATTATGTTACAGTATCTATCTATGTTACTATAACCATCTCTCTCTTCTTTAATTACTTGCCACATAAGCATATTTGTGAGTCCCAAGTGCATGTTACTACTTATGTTACCTCCACTATGGCCAGCCTGACACTACACTTATGTTAGGCTGGCCATAGTGGGGGTAACATAAGTAGTATCATGTACTTGGGACTCACAAACATGCTTATGTGGCAGGCAATTAAAGAAAAAAGAGATGGTTATAGTAACATAGGTAGATACCATAACATAATAAATGTGGTGCTAGTGTGTGTCATGCATGGCAATAAATGAGGCCACTTATGATACTAATCTATAATACTATGCACTATAGAGGTAGTAATATAGACTAGTAACATATACATGTTACTAGTCTAAGTTACTCCCCACTATGACTAGCCTTACTACCCATTATGAAGGTAGTAATATAGTCTAGAAATATGTGTATGTTATTCTCCATTGTGGCTAATCTCATGCCACTATGCCACATCATTAAGTCATGCATGTGGTCATAAGTTCTTAAATAGTTGCAAATCACTATTTATTTTTTCTTTTCATGCATAAGTTATAATTTATGCACTAATCTATTCATGCAACCATGCCACCTCAGCAATCATGCATGGATTTGTTTCACTAATTGTTATGTGCAACATAGACTGTCATGTTACACATTTTTAGCGCGATCTACACATATTTGTACTTTGGACACTTGGAGCAAATATATGTAGATCATATCACACACTTTTGTTAAAAACGGCGCCGTTTGACCTCTATCCAATAAATTTCGTTGTGTTATACAACATTTTGTGACCGCTTCGTATACTTCTTTCAAAATATATCCTGAGAGCCAGGCTTGCCGAGAGCATTCTTAAATTTTGTTTTTCCAATGGTTTTAGTATTTTAGTATCTATTCACGCACATGTTTTAACAAGGTCCCTGAAGCAACGCGCAAGGCATCATCTAGTACTTAGTATGATCATAACCATGTAATCTCATATAGAAGAGATGTAAACATGTCATACTCATACAAACCCTATTTTTATGGACGCCGCTAACTGCCACACGTGTGGCAAGAAGGGAGACGCACCACACATCTCTAATGCAAACAGATTGCCACGTCATCGCATGCATGCATGTAGGAATTTTTTTGGATTTTCAGTTTTTAAAATGTTTTATCTCTTAAACGAAAAATCCGATTGAAGATCCGTTTTCACCATTAAATCCCTCGTGATGAGATCTTCAAAACTAGATCCCATGTTGATATGTTTTGATAAATTGTTTTTTGGATTAAAAGTTGTCATGTCTATTGCATATGAATTGCCATGATGTTTACACTGAAATTGCCATGATATGTTTCAGCTATTTTCCTCTACATTTAAAAGTAAATTTTGACATTTATAAAACGGGGAATTAAGAAACTAGACTTGCCATGAACCATAAACTAAAATTGCCATGATACATGCACGTAAAATTGCATGGTTCATACAAAAAATAATTTTCATGGTCAAAATACTGGAGTTGCCATCATCAAAATACTAAAATTGCCATGATCTACAAACTAAAATTGCCACATGGCATCTTTAGTTTAAGCCCTATGGCAACTGCAGTGTAAATATCATGGCAACTTCTGGGCAAAAAAAAAAATTCGTCGAAACATATCAACATGGGGTCTAGTTTTGAAGATCTCGTCAAAGCGGATTTAATGGTGAAAACGGATTTTTAGTTCGCTTTTTTTATTTAGGAGATACAACATTTTTAAGCCGAAAATAAAAAAAAATCCTGCTGATGTCATCTATTCATACGTGGCAAAATGAGTGGTGATGGAGGCATGTGGGCGATGTGCAAACGCCCACACGTGTGGGCGTTAACATTTTCGATTTTTATTAGAGCTTAGCACATCTAGTTTCTCACAAGTCACAACTTACAACATCGTGGGCATATCCTCACAAAATGTATATTCTCGGGCATGTATCACAAAATACAATTCCATCCTTAGCACATTTTAGTTTCAGCAGTATGTGGTTGTAGAATTGTTTCTCAATGAACTTATCCTGTAAACCACTGGCTGGTTTGACAAAGGAGATGGTCGCAGTTCACCACAAGTAATAAGTAAGAACATACAAAGTCTACAAACTCAGTCCTGATTTCCGGCATGGTTCGGTCAAAAATATACCAATGCAGGATTACATCAACTTTGAAATGGAGAAATACTCAACTCAATACGAGACAATTCGTCTGACGTGTGTGCATACACCACGGGTGCTACTAGTACTACTAGTGAGATTTGACATTTCGTCCTTGGAGCTCAGGTCTGGGTGGGATGGGATGGGATGGATTGCCGCCCACAGCAGCAACAGCAAGTTCCGCTGCGATTTATGGCGCCCACCAACCGGCGACCGAACCCGCCCAAAACCAGCCACAACCACAAGGCTTGGCCGCACCGCAATCCGCTCCGCCAGTTTCTCGTTTCTCCCACCATAGTCAAAACGCCTCCCCTCTCCACCATCCTCCTCCTGTGCGCCGCTTGCCTGCTGCCTGCCTGGCTGTCTGTCTGTCGCCTGTCTCTCTCGCCGCAGAGGTCAAACCAAAAGCAGCACGCACTCCACCGCCCGCCGCGCTCCCCAATGGCGGCTCCCTCCCCCCTTCAAAACCACCGCCCGTCCCTCGCACCCTTCCCCTCGTCCTAGTAGTGCCGGCAAGCAGGTCAGGTCAGAGGGAGGAAGAAGCGTTCTGTGTGAGTTCCGTGGACGCGAATCTGTCGAGTGCCGCCGCTCATGGAGGGGATGTGGAGGAAGGCCAAGAGGGCGATGGGCATTGGCTTCTGCGCGCACCTCCCCGCCGTCGCCGGCGACCGGGACGACTGCGCCAGCGAGCGCCGCGCGTCCGACGCCTTCTCCCAGGACTCGGCGGCGCTGGCGGCGTTGGCGCACGCGTCCGCGCCCAATACGCCGGCGCAGGCGGAGGCAGCCGGCGCGCTGCTCCGCAGGTCCAAGTCGGGAGCCAAGTCCTCCAAGGTGAGGAGCCCTTTCCCCCCGCATCTACCTTCTCTCCCGGCCATTGCGTTAAGATTTGTCCTTGGTTTGCGTGCGGGCTACCCGGACATACTACTGCAGTACTACTGTACGCTACGCTAGATGTGAAATGCTGCGGACACCAGAGGCTTCCCCTACCAGTGGTTGAGTCCAGGTGCTGGTTGGAGTAATGTGGCTTCATCAGTGAAAGATTTAGGTCCTGATGTGGTTCTTCTTGCCGGCAAATCTTGGTTGAAGTGATGGCAGTTCCGTTTTGGTTTATCTTGCTTTGAGTCTAGCAACAGTTTTGTATGCATCTGACTTTTTTAATCAGGAGTATCATGTTTTGTCTCGAGCTCCACCTGTACTAATTTGGATATGCCATTTCCATTTTGTTTCTAATGCTGTTTCCTCCTGTCCCCGAGGGAACACGAGTCCGCAGATTTTCACATAAAAGTTTTATTTGCATATTCGATGATTTTGTCAAACTACCCCCTTTTAACATTATTCCAAGGGAATATCCCAGTTTTGTTTGCACATGTCATTGACAAAATGATGCTATTTTGTTTCCCATCTTCTTCAGTACATATAGGTAGATTTCTAACAAAGTGCAAAAATGCCCAATTTGTTTCCTAGTCATATGTCGATCAGATTTTAGTTTTGTGTGCCTATCCTCCAAGGCGCTTTGGTTCGACGATGGTCAATTCCACTTGCTCTTTTTCCGTGGGATACATGTAGCTTAACGTAAGCTTCATTTCAATCAGTTGTCTCCACTTGTTCCTGCCCGAAAGGGAAAGTTGGCCTCTGTGGTCAACAATATCCACATGGTCACGTGTATCATCTTACCATCACGTTTCTTAATTTGCTAAAGGCGAACCCTTCCAACTTGAGCTGTTATCCATTACCAGGGACGCTGAATGGCCAGCCTTGCACTAGATTTTATTGGCACTTTTATAATTATTTATTATCTTGTATTACTAGTTTGTCATGGCAACCACGTGATTACTTTGAATGGTCCAGGATCTGATTTTTTTCTTACATTAATCGCTATTTTTTTCGTGTGGTGACGACGATTCGTTGATGCCTTTATCGATGGGTTCACACTTTATTGTTTACTAGTAGTATGTCTGACTTTGTGAGATATTGTGCACGGAAGCGTGGAGAATTGACCGGCAACTTCACTAGGATCTCCTCAATATCTTCTTTGGGAGAAGGATCTCCTAAAAGGGTTGACATTTTTATCTTCATGGTGCTTGACGGTTCTCATTTTGCTTGGCTTGGTCAGAACTCAGAAATAAATACAAAATATTTGAGAGAATAAACACTAGATTCATTATTTATTGTGATGCAAACGCTAAATCTGCAATGTTTTCAAGTCTCTGCCAAGAAATTCATTTTTATGTGTGAAGATAGGGCCTCTACTTGTGACATAGTCTGATGCCTGAACTAATGTCTTCCTAACTTGTTTAAGAGTTGCCAAACTGTACAGCTGGAAAACCACAATGACAGAAATACTGATTCCACTCGTTTTTGTGGTGTCGGCAGTCCCTGAATGGCCAGCCTTGCCTTAGATGTTATTGGCACTTTTATATTTATAATATCCTGTATCGCTAGTTGTCATGGCAAGCACGTGATTACTTTGAATGGTCCAGGATCTGAATTTTTCTTACATAACAGCTAATGTTTTCGTGTGGTGACGACGATTCGTTGATGCCTTTATCGACGGGTTCACACTTTATTGTTTACTAGTAGTATGTCTGACTTTGTGAAATATTGTGCATGGAAAAGCGAAAGAATTGACCAGCAACTTCACTAGGATCTCCTCAGTATTTTCTCTGGGAGAAGGATCTCTTAAAAGGGTTGACATTTATCTTCATGGTGTTAGCTTTGACGGTGCTTATTTTGCTTGCTTGGTCAGAACTCAGAAATAAATGCAAAATATTTGAGAGAATAAACACTAGATTCATTATTTATTGTGATGCAAACGCTAAATCTGCAATGTTTCAAATCTCTGCCAAGAAATTCATTTTTGTGTGTGAAGGTAGGTTTCTACTTGTGAAATAGTGTGATGCCTGAACTAATGTCTTCCTAACTTGTTTAAGAGTTGCCAAACTGTCCAGCTGGAAAACCACAATGACAGAAATGCTGATTCCACTGGTTTTTGCGGTGTCGGCAGTCCCCGATAAAGACAACCAGGAGCTACTTTAGGCTTTAGCATAGTGATATATGGATTGTTATCAGCAATTTTGTGTTGACTCTGACATTTGTGGTAGGTATTGGTCTAAAGTTGTCCAGTTTTATGCTTTGGTCAAACCAATATTAGTTGGAATCTATACAGCAGTGCTGATAAATAGATACATCCAGCAAGCACTGGAGGGCAGTTGAATTTGATCGTGGTTTTGTCAAACTCCTAAAATAAGTCCCTAATTGTTATCCTTTGACCTTTGTTATGTATCGGCAATATGTTTTTTTACTTCTAATTGGTTTTCTGCATTAGTACTATTAAAAAATCATTAAAGAAATAGTACCATCCTTTGTCTATTCCACTATTTTTTTTATAAAATATTAAAATTATAATTATAGTGTTGGTACACTGGTGATAATTATAAATTGGACACGGTTGAGACCACCTAACTAGAGGGTGGGTGGGAGGATATAGCATGCAGAGTGGCCTTGAATAAATGTGTCAAATGCATGCATGAGGTTGAGACACATCTATGAATCTACAAGTTGATTGAGATGAGCTTTCGTTTTCATGTGGTCAACTTTCTGAAATAAATACCTTTCAAAAGATTTGGTGGTTCTTGGCAAGACCATTCATTCATTAGAATAGGCTCGTTAATGAAGGTAGTTTCTTGATAACAGCCCCATCATCCTAATAAAAACATGGAAAACCATCCTAATATTAGTTGAATGAAATCCGACTGCATGCTGAACCAGGAGTACCTTTGTAAGCTGCTTTTAGATTTGGAAGCTTTAGGATAAATGTTTCCTACTCCCTCCGTCCCATAATGTAAGACGTTTTCTGTCCCATAATGTAAGACGTCCCATAATGTAAGACGTTTTCTGACACTAGTCTACATTATGGGACAGAAAGCGTCTTACATTATGGGACGGAGGGAGTACCATTTATAGTGCTTAATTATCAGCTCATTGCTTGTACAAATTAACTCTTTAACCTGACATGTCTGCTTAGCTAGAGTGCCTGACACAATAACTATGTGTGCTGGAATCCATAAATATAGTCAGCAACTTATATAGGGCATCTTAGGTGTGAGTGTCCTGCTGGCTTTTGAATTGGACTTGATAAGTGTCGTTGGGGTGTTGGGTTGCCAAATGATATAAAGTATTTTATAAGGGCTTGTCAAATTGACATTTCAACTATGCAATATTGTCAAACATTGGTTGGATTTAAAAACGGATGGTGTTGATTTTGTAACTTTGACATCAGTTTCTCAAAATGGTATGTTTTGGTGTATTTGCTATAAATGTTTCAAAGCGATCCTTTTTTCTGAGATTATGTCCATCATTATTAAACATTTCCTGTGTTTCTTTTGTTTAACTGCTGCTAAGGGATAAATTCTGATGACATACAATTAAATTAATACATGTTCTGTTTCTTTTCCAACAGAAAACGTGCGCGATATGTTTTGATTCCATGAAGCCAGGTCATGGGCAAGCCCTCTTCACTGCTGAATGTTCTCACATGTTCCATTTTCACTGCATCTCCTCCAGTGTAAAACATGGGAATTATGTATGCCCAGTTTGCCGAGCAAAGTGGAAAGAGATACCATTTAATCGCTCGCTATCTTCTATTGTTCCTCGTGGAAGAAGTGGGTTGAATGTGAACCAAGCTCGATTACCCCAACAAGATGCTTACATGGCTCTCCTTCGTCAAGTTCCAACCCGGCAGCGAGAAGTACCCACCTTGCATACTTCTGAGCCAGTAGAGTTCAATGATGATGAACCTTTGCAGCTGATGGAGGCTGCTGACAATTGTGATGTTAGTTCCAGTAAAACTGTGGAAATGAAGACATATTCAGAGTTCTCGGCCATTCCACAGTCATCATCTCAAGATGATTTCGCTGTTCTGATCCATCTGAAGGCCCCCTGTGCTAACCCAGAGCAGATCACAAGCAGACCGGTTAATGCAACCTCAGTTGGGTATCCGACATCTCGTGCCCCTGTTGATCTTGTTACCTTGCTTGATGTTAGCGGCAGTATGGCAGGAACCAAGTTGGCGCTGTTGAAGCGAGCAATGGGTTTTGTTATTCAACACCTTGGTCCATCTGATCGCCTTTCAGTCATTGCTTTCTCGTCTACTGCCAAAAGGTTGTTCCATCTCCGACGCATGTCACACTCTGGCCGACAGCAGGCCCTGCAGGCTGTTAACTCACTTGGTGCTGGTGGCGGCACAAATATTGCTGATGCGTTGAAGAAAGCTGCTAAGGTTATTGAGGATCGCAGTTATAAGAATCCAGTATGCAGTATTACTCTGTTATCAGATGGTCAAGATACCTATAATATTTCCTCAAATGTTAGGGGAACCCGTCCTGATTATAGGTCCCTTGTTCCATCTTCCATTCTAAACCAAGCTGTAGGCATAGTACCTGTCCATGGGTTTGGTTTTGGAGCAGATCATGATTCAGATGCTTTGCACTCAATAGCCGAGGTCTCTGGTGGTACATTTTCCTTCATTGAGGACGAGGGTGTGATTCAGGATGCATTTGCTCAGTGCATTGGTGGTCTTCTTAGTGTTGTTGTTCAGGATATGCGCTTAACTGTGCAGTGTGTGCATACTGGTGTTCAGCTTCGCTCCATCAAATCTGGCAGCTACTTGAGTAAGGTGGCTGGAGATGGGCGAAATGGTTCAATTGATGTTGGACATCTTTATGCTGACGAGGAGAGGGACTTTTTGCTGTCTGTGAGCTTCCCGCAATCCCGTGAACAGACCATACTCTTGAAGGTTGCCTTTTCCTACAGAGATCCGGTGACAAATGAGTGTATCAAGATCCAAGGTGACGAGGTGATGATCCTGAGGCCGAGATCACGCACACCTGAACTTGTTTGCATGGAGGTTGATCGTGAGAGGAACCGAGTCCGTGCCGCGGATTCTATTGAGGCTGCAAGGGCTGCTGCTGAGAGAGGTGTTCTTTCTGAGGCAGTGGCTATTCTTGAGGAGTGCCGAAGGGTGTTGTTAGAGTCCTTTTCAAGCCGGAATGGGGACCGTTTATGCATGGCTCTTGATGCGGAGCTGAGGGAGATGCAGGAGAGGATGGCTAGCCGGCAACGCTACGAGGCTTCAGGAAGGGCATACCTGCTGTCGGGGCTCAGCTCGCATTCTTGGCAGAGAGCCACGACACGCGGTGACTCCACGGACAGCAGTTCACTTGTTTACTCGTATCAAACACCATCCATGGTTCAGATGCTGCAGCGCTCGCAGAACCAGTGCCCTTCGCCTCAGATCCCAAGGCCACAGATCATCGTACCAACAAGGTCATTCATCCAGAAACCTCAGCCAAGGTAGAAGGTAGCAGCACGCCATCATCCCGTGAAGCAAGCACACGGATGATGGTGAAGAAATAACGCTTGGTAGGTCGAAATGTAGTAGTTTAGTATCCGTCTTTTGTTTTTCTGGTTTGAGTCGTGGTGGTGGCGGTATACCGGAGAAGGTGGGGGTGGGACGGGCTTGGAGGTATATATGTTGTGGGGGTGGTATACTGGAGAAGGTGATGGAGGGCTCACGGTGGTAAATACATTGTGGGGGGTATACTCCTGTGGTGTCAAGGAATAAGGGTTGGGGAGTAAGTAGGAGGGGGGCTGGAGATTGGTATAATGGCTTCAAGGGGAAGTGGGTGTGGTCTAGGGTAGGCTAGGTTGTCACTAAGTTGCTTTATCGGTGAACAATTTTCGTTAGGTATTTGGTAATGTAGATAAGATGGTCTGGTCTCGTCTGGTGTGATGGAACCTTGGAAATTTTGAGTTTTCGGGGGTGCAATGCGATGCAGTTCTATGGATCCAATTTCGCGTTTCGGTGAACTGTTTGTTGGTCTCTGATGATGAACTGTTTGTTGGTCTCTGATGATGCTCTGCTTCGTCGCCTTAAGGCGCGTCGCAAGCTTATCTGCTGGTGTGCTTTTTGTTCAATTGCTCCGGTCTAAATATTTTGTGCATGGACGACTGGGGCACGTTCAAATTGTTGTGGTGTAGGGTAGGTTTGTTGAAATTGTTGCACAAGCACGCGTTCGAAAAATCACACAATGTGAATGCAAAGATCACACGTATAAGGCCTAAACAAAATACTACTATAACAAGAAGCAAAATCTCGTAGGGCTAGTGTGAAAAAATTGAGTCTAAGCTAACACAAAACCCTAGCTAACTAGGAGTAGTGATCTATAGTCGTTCCATGACTCAAGAAGCTTCCTCGCCGGCCGTGGCCCGAGCGGGTACTCGGGCTCGGGCGAGATCGGATACTGGGACGTGACCTTGCACGTCGGCGAGGCCTCGCCGCGGCCCAAGACGGCCGTGCACTCGACCACCTTCTGCAGTTGCCTCGGCGCCGCCGGCCCCAGCAGGGCCACGTCCACCGTGGCGTTCCCTCGCCGGAGCTCCTCGGCGAGCCGCTCCCGCGCGAACCGCGGCACGGGCACGGCGTTGCCCCACGCCATCACGGACCCCACCTCCGTGACGTTCTCCTTCCTCGCGCAGAACTCTGGCACGGGCCCGCTCGCTAGCACGACGCGGCGGTAGGAGACTGACGCCGTGGTGCCGCGGTCCACGCACTCGGCGCTGTACTTGCGCGGCTCCATGATGCGGAAGGTGAGGTCGAAGGCGGGGTCGAGCGTGGCGCGCGCGAGGTCGACGTCGGGGTCGAGGCCCGAGAAGGCGGCGACGGCGACGGTGTACTCCGGGATCTTGGCCGAGTCCTCGGAGCCCGCGTACAACCAGTGAAGGATGGGCGTTATGATCACCAGCGCCGTCAGGGCGCCGAGGATGGCCGGCCAGGCGTCCCCGAGACACTTACGCGGATCGCACCCGCCGCCGCCGTCGATGTCGTCGTCTCGAGCTGCCGCCATGGCGCGCGCTGTTGGCTTCTCCGGGCGGGCTTGGCTTCCCTCTTCTTCTTGGCCTGGCCTGTTGTGTGCGGCTACGTTGTATAGTATATATAGGACGTGAAGGGCGTTGGTTATCCGGTGTTTGTGTGCCCTACGTCCATGAGTTGGGCAATGGCACAGATTGACAAATATACGTGCGAAGCTTTGTTTTTTTTTTTTTTTGAAATACGAAGCTTTGGTGTAGTAAACATGCTCATACATCTGCTACGGATCTAACGTGTTTCCACAGTTTAATTGGAATACGAGTGTCATGTGTACATGATCTGGTCTCTAATTAGGTGCTGCGATCACATTAGGTGGACACGTGTCCTGCCAGTATGCCATGTCGTACACGCATGTACGCACGTGTGTATATATATATATATATATATATAGTACTCCCTCCATTCTAAAATATAGTGCGCCCGCGCTTCCCGAGGTCCAACTTTGACCATAAATTTAACCAACGAGACCAACTGCGGCGGGAGAAAAAAATTATATAATTGAAAACTTCTTTCAAATACGAATTCACTGATATAATTTTTGCTCCCACCGCAATCGGTCTTGCTAGTTAAATTTACGGTCAAAGTTAAAGCACGGAGATAGAGGAAGCACTACATTGTGGAATGGAGGGAGTAGCAGGACTCAATACCCTAAAAAAAAGCAGGACCCAATCTCCGCATCGCGTCATGGAGCCCCATTCGCGACGAGTGCTTCGAGCCCGGCACGAGCCTGGAGGTGACCTACCGCGACATCCCCCGCCCAAGTTAATTGCAATGAACTACCACGTTTCGACACGTTGTAAGGGATCAGTACTATTAGTCATCTTTTTTGAATATCAGTACCATCATACAGCCTAAGTGTCACAAAACAGTCTAAGCCACGTATAAACGCGTATTGACGGTGTATCTGACCACCGGGACCCGTGTATCAGGAGCCGACCTGCCATATTTTTTTGCAGAAAACACCTTTGTTGTAAATGTAATCACTCAAAAGCCCTGCTGCCTCGACCTCGCCGGAGCCCCATCGCTGGCTCGCCGGTGCCCAGACGCTAGGTCACCAGAGCAGCGGAGCAGTGGCTGGCTCGCCGAAGCAGGGGCTGGTGTTAGGCGACAAGGGCTAAGGGCGGCGCGATCGCCGGAACCGTCACTGGATTCAAACCCCGCCGCCCGTATGCCTCGTCCCCGATCCGATCCGCTCGAGCTAGACGAGCCAGCGTTGCATGGGCTGCAGGATGGCCCAACCGCGGCCCAGTGAGGCCAACACATTTAAAATAAAATATGTGAGTAAAAGAAAACCAATCGCATGACTTTGCCGACAACTTCTTCAGAATATGGGTGAGGATAGACGTCCACAAACCTCTGAAAAACGTTGTGTCAATGATTAGGAACTCCAAGTGCCAGATATACAGAGTTTGTTATGAGAAGCTGCCGGACTGGTGCGCTGTCTGTGGCCATCTAGGGCACATGTATAAGGAGCATGGGGATGATGTTCATCCCCCGTCTGCTTTGTACTTCAAGGACCTCCGTGCATCATGGGCAATGCGCATAGGGGAAGGCCCAGGTGGAGGCCGAGGCCACCGCGGTGGACGGAGAGGAGGACGAACGGCTCATGCTGGTGGGCGTTCAGAGGGAAACATGAGCACGAACGGCTCATGCTGGTTGGTGGTGAGGAAAACATGAATTCATCATCACTGGATGTGGAGATGGAAGAGGCCAATAGAAAGAAGTCTGATCCAGTGGATGTTTTGGACCACAAGAATCAGCTAGCATTGGTTCCTCACGTTGGTAACCCGGTTAGCCCTCCCCCGAAGAGGGATCAGAAGAGATCGCGCACTGATGGCAAGGAAAGCAAGGGCAGTAGCTCAAGCGTCACAAAACCAAATTTGGCGGGCTCCCAGGAGGAGCGCCGCCAAGCACAATGAGTGCCCTCTGTTGGAACTGCCGTGGCATGGGCAAAGCCGTGACAGTTTGAGAGCTTCGTGATCTCGCGAGGAAATTTGCCCCTACCGTGCTATGTATTGTCGAAACCCAAATAAGTGGTGCACGTGTAGAAGCGCTAGCTAGTACTCTTGGTTATGATAGAGCTTATGCAATTAATAGTAGTGGTAGAAGTGGAGGCATTGGAATTTTTTGGAATAATACATTGGACGTTGAAATTTTGGGTGACTCGGTGTACCATATTGATGCTAAGATAACTGAAACAGGCATCGATCCGTGGAGGCTGTCCTGCTTTTATGGGGACGCTCAGACACGGTTGAGGCATCAAACATGGGACCTCATGAGAGGTATGTGCAGTTTGAGCGCCCTGCCATGGCTATGATAGGAGATTTTAATGAGGTGCTAAGTCCGAAAGAACACCAAGGAGTTGCTACCGGAGTAATGCACAGATACAAGGCTTTAGAGACGCTGTTGATGATTGCATGCTTATGGATGTTGGCTATCATCGGAGGTTTTGGAGTCACCGGAGGAACTTATACTCGGGTGCGACTGGATCGGGCTCTAGCAAGTGCAGATTGGATGACCAGGTTCCCAATGGCAGAAGTGACACATCTATCAGTAGCTACATCTGACCATGGCCCAATACTGCTGCTTACTCAGGTCGGACAGCGCCAAGGTGTACCGAAAAGAAGCTTCAAGTATGAAACATTGTGGGAAACACATGAGTCCTGGAAAGAGACCATAACAACCATGTGGAGCTCGGAAAACCCGGCGAATAATATTGAGTCCTTGAAGCAGAAGTTGGCTGCACTATCTCAAGACTTAGACAGGTGGAACTTTAATACTTTCGGCAGTGTCAGAAAGGAGATCAAGCGCATCAAGCTAGAACCGGAACAGTTGAGGGATGACCCGTTGCGTGACAGGCCTAGCCATCGGGGGCTGAAACTGAATGAGAACCTGGTAGAATTGTACCACCGCGAGGAGGTAATCTGGAGACAGAGGGCCATGATAGAGTGGCTAACAACAGGGGACAGGAATATCGAATTTTTCCATATGAGGGCTAGTCTCAGGCGTAGAAAGAACATGATTAAAGTCCTCTCAAATGCCTTGGGGGTGCAGGTTGATGATCCAATGCAGCTAAAGGCCATGGTCCAAGAGTTTTATGAAAGCCTATATACCACCGAAGGGGTGCATGACATAGAAGAGGTGACAAACCATGTACCTTCCAAGGTAACTCCAGAGATGAATTCAATCTTGTGTGCACCATACACACGAGAAGAGGTGAAAGTCGCTCTCTTCCAGATGTTCCCGACAAAGGCGCCTGGGCCTAATGGATTTCCAGTTCACTTTTACCAGAGGCACTGGGATCTGTCTGGAGATGAAGTAACCACTGCTGTGTGATACGTCTCCAACATACCTACTTTTCCAAACATTTTTGCCCTTGTTTTTTACTCTAACTCGCATGATTTGAATGAAACTAATCCGGACTGACGCTGTTTTCAGCAGAATTGACATGGTGTTATCTTTCTGCAGAAATAAAAGTTCTTGGAATGACCTGAAAATCAACGGAGATTATTTTTGGAATATATAAAAATACTGGCGAAAGAATCCACGTCAGGGGGCTCACACCCTGTCCGCGAGGGTGGGGGCGCGCCTACCCCCTGGGCGCGCCCCCTGCCTCGTGGGCCCCTTGACGCTCCACCGACCTAAACTCCAACTCCATATATTCACTTTTGGGGAGAAAAAAATCTGAGAGAATGATTCATCACATTTTATGATACGGAGCCGCTGTCGTGGTTCTAAGTCTGACAGTAGTGTAGGGGGGTAAGTATGGAGAGGCAAGATCTTAGCTGTGGAGAAGTCGTAAGAACGCAAGGTTTACGAGTTCAGGCCCTTCTCGGAGGAAGTAATAGCCCTACGTCTCGGAGCCCGGAGGCGGTTGACTGGATTAGGTGAGTGTGAATTACCGAGGTCCGACCCTTGTCTTGGAGGAAGGGGGTGGCTTATATAGAGTGCGCCAGGACCCCGGCCAGCCTGCATTACAAAGGGTTCAATGTACATTAAGGCAGGGCGCTACTGGTAACGCTAGTAATAAAGTGCTATGATGACCATAAAAGCTACTTAATGACCGACCGTTAGCGTGCGGAGTGACTTTAGGTCTCCTGGCCGTCGAGTGGTTGGATCTTGGTCAAGTGATTGCTTCTTGGTCGAGTGTCTTCGAGTCTGTCGAGTGGAACACCTCCAAGTCGATTGAAAGGTGATTTCTTCTAGAGATGTCCTTGGGTAGGGCAGTTAGGACAGGTCCATGACCCTACCCTAGGTACATAGCTTCATCATTAGCCCCCGAATGGATTGAGGTTTGAGTGGGGAAGGAGTTGAGGACCTCTCCGACTCGTTTTTCATGCCGTGAGCATATCTTGTTCCGGATCAACGGACCTGAGTGATGACAGCAACTTCCTTTTCAGTCGCCTTGATCCATTCTTAATTCTTCGTCGAGTGAGTTTCTTTACTTGTAAGGCTCCGAGTGACGGTGCGGAGGAGATCTTTTGGTCTGACAAGTTGTTTGCTGCTCGCAGATTTCGTGGGATCCGAATTTTGGGAAGCGCGCGGGACGGGGGAGGCTGCAGTAATCGGATGGGATAGAGCGGAGACGCCTCGATCCTCGTGCCGCCTTTTTCGCCACGTACCGCGCGCGCGATCGTTACGGGATTTGACAGAGCCACCTGGGCCTACCTGTCAGCCACTCGGAAGCAGCCTCATATAAGGCGTTGGACCGGAGTCTCCCGAATAGTGCGTTCCCATTTCCTCTTCTCCTCTTCACGCCCCTCCGCTGCGCTCGCTCTCGCCCCAGCATCACCGCTCCGTACGCGTCTCGCTGGTGACAATGGGGAAGGAGAAGATGACGGCTCTGGAGCGGGCAAAGAAGGCGACGGCGAGGTCGAAGGGGAAGGCGACCAACCGGGGCGGATCTTCCTCGCGGACCGGCCTGCCGAAGGGCTAGATCCAGGGCGACTGGATCCACTCGAGGATCACCCAAGAAGA